CTTTTATATTAGGTGTGGGTCAATGAGCTTAGGTGTACTTCCTGTAAACATTGCTCATCCAGCCATGTTGCTTTGTGTGGGTGTCAGCCTGCTAAATGTAGCATGGAGGCTGTTGTGTCAGGGCCAGCGGTCTCTCAGTGAAGCCCAGCTTTTGACCCTGAATCGGCTGCCAAATGCACCAGACATCCACACCACCGTTTCCCTTCCTCCCAATGCCTCATGCATGTTTGCAAACAAAGTATCCACTGGTTTTGTTTTGTTGTTGAACTCTGATTCTTCTTACAGTTTTGGCTACTTCTAAGATTTGATAAAAAATGTAAAATATAAAAAGGCTATGACTTTTTCTTSTTTTTTCAGGTGTCGTACATATGTGCATTTGCTGTGTTTGAARACTACCTCTATGCCATCCACTCTGACCCTTCCAAAGGGAGTTCAGCTGCAGAGTTGCTGCAGGTGCACAGATTCAACATCACAGCAGACAGCAAGACACTCGCCACCCTGGGGGATTCCAGAGGACTGCGTGTTTACCACAAACTCGCTCAGCCAAAAGGTAAAGGACATTTTCCTTTAAGTAAACATTTGCAATATGTCATGATTCAGCCCATATGACTCACTGGCTGCAGTCTGGTACATTTAAGAACAGGATTCTTTACTGGATTACACTTAATTATTATTTTTTTGTCTTTTGTTTCCATATTGCCCACAGTTAAGAACCATGCGTGTGAAATGGATGCGTTTAGAAAGCCAGGAGGATGTTCGCAAATTTGTCTTTTGAGTGGAAGCTACAAGTCGAAAACTTGCCGCTGTCGTATTGGCTACAGCCTGGGCTTTGATGGGAAATCCTGTAAAAGTTAGTATGTTTTTTGTTTTGCCTTTTTCATAACACTTTAAAACATGTTACATTTCGAAGACATTATCCGTTCATCTTCAGGCCACAGATTAGTCAAAGGGCAGTGCATCGATATGTAATTAAATTAGTGCCCTCATAAATTTAAAGTATATTGCTTTACATGTACTTAAGAGTTGTAAGGCTTTCTGCATTTTACCAATCTACCTACATGGCACATTGGTTTCTCAGATTGTCTAGCATTTCATTGACAAAATATTAAGAAGCATTATGCTAACTTCCATTACTTAGAAATAAATGGGTAGACTTGAAGATCTGAGTATTTTTGAAAGTTTATTATTATCATTAGTATCAMTATCTCTCTATTTTCCAGTTTTGATTAAGTGGAGGTAAAAGTGTCTGCTTTTGTGGAACTTTTTCACATCTTAATCTGATCTGATGAAAAGAATGAGAACACTCACTCTGTTTCAAAATTTCCCTAAGTGTCTCTTATCCATTGAGCTCAGGTTGTTCAGTCTGACCTTACAGTTATAGAACTGCCCTTGAGAAATTTTGAGGATATTTTCAGAGGGAATATTCTGAATTAGTTGCATGTTTGATTCATTTGTTGAGCTCAGGTGGAGAGACAAGKTTTTTTGAAAGGTCTTGGCACAGTTTTGTTTTTTGTTCTGCATTGATCCCATGCGCAGCTTGGATGTTAAGAATGATTAAGTGTGACAAGTGCAGCCATTGTCAGCGCTTCACTTTGATGCTTCTTTGTTCATCAATGTGTTTCATGCTTTTTCAACTTTGTGAACTATGCTGTAGTTGTGCCTTTTGCGGTTCAAGCTACATTTTAACTGAGAAGCATTTGACATATGCATAGTGTCACTAAAAAGAGTTGACGTGCTGTTTTCCATTTGTTTAAATGCACCCAAGCCTATCTTCCTAAACACTGGTTGTATTAAATTCTTGTAATCCTCTACTCTGCACTGGGTGAGAGATATGCAAATTGGCATGAATTTGCAACAATGTATTAGACTAAAGTTGTGTTTGAGTTGAAGTCGTGCAAAATTTTCACCCCAAAAATGTCCTTTATTCTTTTTTAACTTTGAAAACATGTTCCAATTTTTAATAGTGAACAAGTTTCCAATGCAATGTAATTCGCTTATCAGCTAATGCTTTTTCCATGAAATTCTTTTCTGACTTAATATCAAAATCATTCGTGACATCAGTTGATTTGAACTGAATTATACAATACAAAATACGCCAAACTATTTTTATTGCCATATAAACTGTTAAGAAAAAAATAAGAATGTCAGTTTATAAAAGTACAGAAATATATGAAGTTTAGAATTCACACTTTTATCTCTTGACTATCTGAATATACTGTGATGTTGTGTTTGCAGCCATTGGGGGGGTGGGGGTCACATTTTGTGTTGGAAACAAAACAAACAAGAGCACCACACAAAAGCTAAATTATTTTGTTAAGTGACACACTTATGAACAAAATRWATGACAGCTTTCACTCTAAACTGTTAACAATAATGTTGATCAATAACATTTAAAGACCTCAGTTAGTGCTTCTAAATTTAGCCCATAAATTTAGCAAGTGCTAATCCATTAATGAATTTAAAAAATAGCTAAATCCCTAAAGCACTAATTAAGAAATTCGTTCTCCTATTAGTGCTTTAGTGCTTTAGGGGAATTGTGCCCACCACTGCTGATTTGATAGAAAAGGCATTCGTTTTATTTTACACATTTCTTGATTAATGCCGTATGTCAAAGCTTAAGTTTGTCTCTATCTTTTTTTTAACCATTTTGTTTCTTTCTGTCACATTTGTCACATCTGGAATGTGTAAAAAAGACAACAGTTTAACTTTCTTATCTAGATAACACATAAATGTGTATTACACAGTAAATATTGAACAAATGCATATTTAAATTTCAGGTTTAGTAATTAAAATTAGCTGGACGTCCGTACCCAATGTTTATCTTAAAATATCACCTAAACCCTGAAATGGTCAGTTGGCATTTCATAACTTGAGTTTTGCCTTTTCAAAACTTTAGAATAATACAAAACTTTAGAGCCATTTTTTATACAACACCTAGACCATTTGAACTGATAATATTTACTGTTCATTATTAATATATATAAAAATGCCCTGTATTGCTGCTCTTTTTAATCTTGTGCCAGTAAAGGTCATGTGTTTTAATAGAGCTGAGGCACAGGCATGTGTGCATAGCTGAAGGCTGACTGTAATAAAGATGAGAGCTGGCGAATAAAGCTCTATGTGAATGTGACATTCTGGTATCGACCTGTTGGAAGCGTGATAGATTATTGCCATAATGAGGTTTTAAGTTCGCCTGCATTTGTTGGCTGCTCTGATCAATCGCTGGACATTGTGTAGTTGACAATAAAAGCYGAAGATCAAATTGATGACACAATTTGAGGGCCTACCACATTTCGATCAGGCTAATGGGGCTATGGGAGTTTTTGCATGACACATTTGATTTATCGTACCCCCTTGTAGATGTACTGATGACACCAGCTATCTCTCTCTTGCTCTGGCATTCCGTCTCCCTAAGCATAATGAGATTTGGTGTTAAATGATGTCTTTTTTTTCATACAGCAGTCACTGTTGGGGTTTGATATCTGGGTCTCTTGCAATGCTTAATTGTCTCTTGGGTAGTTGGTCTCTCCCTCACAAAATGATAAATTGAAGTGAGGCATGTGTGGTCCTCACCCTCAGCATCCTAGTCTCCTGGGTAAGGGCTGAGAGCAGGGAGAGGTCTGCTTCTCTCAATGGAAGCCCTACTTCATTCCTCTTTTGCCTCTTCAGAGGTTCCCAAAGGGTTCGGGAAAATGCAGTCCCCTGCGCCATTGGGAGGCCACTGTGGAGCTGCCTCAGCTCTAGGGTTTCCTGTTTGCTTTTCATACCAAGGCCCAGTTATTTTAGATTGGAAACAGTATTCATAGCCAAGGTAAGTTTTGCAATGGTTTGTTTGCTTAAGCATTTTACGACTTCCCTGGCAGTGTTGCAGCAAGATCCTGATTGAGGGTGGAAAGTATAGTCATTGGCACTGATTACTGACTCCATTAGGGTAAATAGATGGCCCAGACCTTAGCAAAGATATACGAACAATGTGGTTGGTAAGAGGGTTTAATGCAAGGATCAGCACTGATGAATTAGACCAATTAATTGACAATAAAAGTAAAAAAAGGGGTTTGTTCTTTCTTGCTTTGTAGAGCCCAAAAACGATTTCTTCCTCTTCTATGGTAAGGGACGCCCTGGGGTCATCCGAGGCCTGGATATGAACATCAAATCCAGTGATGAGCACATGGTGCCAATTGAAGACTTGGTCAACCCTCGAGCCATTGACTACCATGCAGAAATTGGACACATTTACTTTGCTGACACCACCAGTTTCCTTATTGGGCGTCAGAAAATAGATGGAAGCGGCAGAGAGACTATTCTCAAAGACGGTGGGTCTAAAAGAGGATCTTACACAAGATGTAGCTTTTTTCCTTAAATAAAATATTTACTCTCTGTATACTTTTTAGAAAAGTTTATTAGATGGCAATAATTGTAATAATTATGTGGCACTGATTCTGTCACAGAACTTGACAATGTTGAAGGCATTTCGGTGGATTGGCTTGGAAACAACTTATATTGGACCAATGATGGGTACAGGAAGACAATCAGTGTTGCCAGTCTGGAAGGAGCATCCCAGACCAGAAAGACACTTTTGGAAGGAAATATGTCCCACCCCCGGGCCATTGTGGTTGATCCAATTAACTGGTGAGTATGTAAAAAACAAATAAAAACACAAAATAAAAGAAGATAAGATGTATTGCTGATATAAACAAAAGATTATAGATAAAATGGAATGAAATTGATATATAC